ATATTCAGAAATATTTGTTTTTTCTTAAAAAAGGTAAATTTAATTGAACCAAGCTACAAGTATAGCGATTTAAATCCCTTTACTTGCCGGACAACTCACATCATAAGTGCAGGGATGGGGTTTTGTCATTATTTTATTCATGTGGGACTACCATCACGTGAGACAATTTTTAAATTTCTGTATAAAATTTGTAACAAATAATCTGTACTTGAAGAATTTTTCAATTTAATTAGCCAAACGTGCTGGCGAAGATTATAGAATTCGGTATACCAGGAGACGCCACCGTACAAAGTAAATTATTGATAATTATCCTGGTAGTAAATGATTTTTCGAAACCCTAGTGTCGTCCTCAAAATTTCCCAAATTCTTTCATATCCGATTGCCAATACAACTACGGATTGTTGAATACTGAAGATAATGATGCTACTGCTGCTTCATTAAATCAAACCCTTATAAAATTTCATCCTCATCAATCAGAAACAGCACTTCAAAAAATCAATTCCATGGCGACTGAGGTTTTGGAAGTTATGAATATTGCTGATAATGATGCTACTGCTGCTTCGGTTGACGATGATCTTTTAGTGCTATACTCAACACCCACTTCATTCAAAAAGGGAACCAGCAAAATGAACCCCATCTCAGTTGAAGATTACCCTCTTAGAGCCAAGAGGGTCATTGATCTCTCCCAAGATTTCAAATATTATGATCTTGAGAGTGATGATGATGAAGTGAAAGTTCTTGATTCATTCCCAAAAATCCGCAGAAAGCTTTACAAGGGTGAGTCGTCAAACCAAAAACCAGCAAAGGATGTAGAATCTGCGCTTCCTATGACGTTCGTGTGCGAAATCTGCGTGGATGAGAAGCCGACTAGTGAACTGTTTCGCGTCTTGGGGTGTACTCACTCTTACTGTTCAGAATGCATGGCGAAATATGTGGCATCTAAGTTAAAAGAGAATACTACTATAATTACTTGCCCCGTTTTGGGCTGTAAGGGTATCTTAGAGCCTCACCATTGTCGTTCAATCTTGCCTAAACAAGTGTTCGATATGTGGGGTGATGCGCTATGTGAGGCAGTGGTTTTGGCCTCTGAAAAGTTCTATTGCCCATTCAAGGATTGCTCGGCGATGCTGATTGATGACATGAGGAGAGCGAATGAGGTTATTACGCAGTCGGAATGCCCAAATTGTAATAGGCTTTTTTGTGTGCAGTGTAAGGTTCCATGGCATGTGGGGATACAGTGTGCAGAATTTCAGAAGTTAAAGAAGGATGAAAGGAACAATGAGGATATAATGCTGATGAATCTTGCCAAGAGTAAGAATTGGATGAGGTGCCCCAAATGCTGCTTCTATGTGGAGAAATCTGAAGGCTGCTTGTTCATGACATGCAGGTTTGTTTAGTTTATTGCATTGCATTGCATTGCATTGCACTTACACTTGTGTATCCAAGTAGATTTTTGCAGTAATGAACTTTCTTTTTTCCATAAATGAATTGAATTTGTTCCTTCTTTTGTTGCTGGTAAAGGAACTTAATATGAGGAGAAGGAGAATAGGTAGTTGGGGCATGTCTTTTGTCGACCAACAGAGGCTCTGGAGTGGTGCAAAATGACTTAGTTTATGTTGAATTGAGTTGTTTAAAGACCATTCGGACATTAATTATCTTATAGGTCTTCTTTGGACAAAGGGCATCATTGGTGACCTCAAAATAAATTTGCAATCAAATTATTACCCAATGACCATAAATACCAAACATTTGTTCTTCCCCTTTTCTTGAACTTCAATACGATTATAATGGCAATTACTTTATGATCAATTACATTATATGGGAGCCAGATTGATGATAAGCTATATATTTGATAATGCACTGTACAGAGCAAGATTGATGCGTGTGGAAGGTTCACACTGTACAATATAAATTAAACGTTTTCTGGAAATTTGATGTAATCAGATACTTTTCTTGTGATTGTCGGTATCTAAGCACAAATTTCTGTCTTTCGCAGCTGTCCATCTTTAATCTTTACTGCAGTCTATGTCATGACTCTTATGGCATGTGTGGACTGGTGAACACTAAGGAACAAGACGAACTTACAATCTTGTCTGGTGCACTGTAAGGCGTTGCCAATTATTGTGTTCCAAACACACCGCGAATATTTTATTATCTTTTTAAAATTTAATTACCTTGTATGCACGGTTACAATGGTTTGTGGACTGCCTATATCGTTAGAAAACTTTCAGCCTCTTGAATCACAGCCAATATTTTAATATTTTTCTGATGATACAATATTCTGATGTACTCATGTACTTTTGTTTCAGTTTTTTATTTTTATGAGTTCTCTATCTTTTCTCTGAACTTCAATCTGAACGTATGACTCTTAGTGCTACTGATATAATTGCCTTTAATTGATGAAATGGAGTGGTCTATTATATACTTGTTTGACCAGAAAATTTGCCTTTCAATTAAAAGTTAATTTTTCTTACTATCTTCCTGTTGATTTTAGGTGTAAATATACGTTCTGCTACAACTGTGGAGCCCACTTGAAGTCACACTACTGCTCTAAGTGTAAGCATTGAGCTGAATATGACATCCTTATTGTTTCTACATGTAAGTTGGTTGAGGTGGTGCATTAGAATTATCCGGAGACCGGAGTAAATATTAGTTGTTTGTATAAAACCTTGAGAAGAAAATTAGCTTTACTCTGATTTGACTTAGATGCTCCCTTTTGACACTGAAAATTTGAGTCATAGGAGCAGGCATATTTTGAAGTGATGAATCCCATGGGATAGTTTATACATGTGAATTTAGTGATGAAGAGGAAATTGTGGTGTTTAATTTCTCTAAATTGTAGCTCTACCTTCTTTATCGACCAGAAGATTTATAATTTATGCTTTATTCCTCGTATTCTGTTGAGTATATGTTGTATGTGGGTACCATATATCTGAAGATGCCATGATATAAAAGAAAAGACCTTAGGTCTAAAGCATGTTGTGGCCATGTCAAAGATGCGATAGAACTTCAGGAAATATGACATAACATGTGGTGCGCGGACATGTGTCTTATGGTATCAATAATATTGACATTCATGACTCCATTTCTTAGGCATTTCCATTGTTATTGAAGGATTAAATAATGTGGCTTCAGCCTGCTGCTGTATTGAGGATTATCATAATGTGTAATCTGATGTCTGCTAATTGCGGTGGTCGGTTTCTATCAATAGTTTCTTTGTAGAGATGAGAATTTTTCGTACCTTGGTTATAAAAAATGGTAAAGAACTGGACAACCCAGTGACCACTGTTTTTGCTGGTTTGCCCTTTTCAATTCCTATTTCCAACCTCTTGGAATTCCATTCAAAATATCAAATCTCTGAAGATATTTTTACCAAACCAAATTCACTGTTTCCATTTATCATGCTTCCAACAATAATTTTTTCTTCCTTTTTCGAGTTGTGACTGAAATCCATGTTGCAACTTGGAAGCCCTCCTCTACCTCTATTCTATTGTAACGTTTTTTTCTCAGTACATGCATTATAAATTCTGTTGATAAAGGGTAATTAGAGTAAGACCCCCTAACGTTTGCCCGTTTTGTGGAATACCTCCCTAATCTTTCATTATGGCTCGAAAGTATGTTGTTCTTTCAATTAGGGTCCGTTTGATTGTAAATGTGGAAAGTGAGTAGAAAAAATGAATTTCAGGGAAAGTAATTGTCTAGAAATTGTTTTGCATAGAATTGTTAGTTAAGTGTGTTTGATTGGTATAATTTTCCATCCGGAAAATTTTTAAATTTTGTGCTTGTTTGACCTTCGTTTGCATCAAAATTGTCCATTAAAGTGAATTTTTTTCCTCAATTAGTTATAAAATTTGTTTTCATTGTCAAAAAGTAAAAAAAAAAAAAAAAAGAAAAAAAAATTTTAAAAAAAAAAAAATTTTTTATAAGTGAATTTTTTTTTTACACTTGATTATGAAATTTGTTTTCATTGTCAAAAATAAAAAAAAATATTTAAAGTCAGAGGAAATCATTTTCCACAATTTCAAGGAAAGATGGCGCGTGAGCTGAGTCCCAAGATAATTAATTCTAGTCAACTTTTTGCCGTCAAACAAGACAATTTTGTTGGAAATGGAATTCATTTTCCTTTTTCCCAAGAAAAGTTGCCTTATCAAACACTGCCTTAGTTCTGGTTAAGGAATTTAATAAACAAAACCAATGATTTTGGCCAAGTACCTAGTAAAACAAGGACCCGCAGGTATCTTTTTCATATTCTTCTTGAGACCATGTTTGTTAAACAGTTTATCAAACAGAGGAATATTAATTGTACCACTTACGCAATATGGGAAAAAATTGGGGGTACAATCTGCCCTAATTTTTCTTAAAAGTTTTTGATTAAAATAGATATAAAAATAGGATACATTTTAATGTTTTTGAGAAAAGGATGTACATGGTGTAATTTCCACAAGTCTAAAACGACGACAAGCTCGAGCCTGGACGAACTGCGGGCCACTTCAGTTTGATGGTTTGAGAGAGTAACTAAGTTCTGCCATGTTTCAAGGCAGAAATTACACGTGATTTTACTCTTTCTGCCTTGATTTAAATCAAAACAGACAATTTTCATTTTATTTTGCAATTCAATTTTTTTTTAAAATAAAAAGTCTAAAATCTCAGATAGGCCTTTTTTCGGCCGGGCTATGGACTGATCTGCTCCAGTCCCCTTTGAAAATGTTACCTAGTCAAAACCTAGACCAATAACCGAGACAGATGATTCGAGCCTAAATCCAGGCCCAGCCAATTCTGTGTGACCGATCCATTTTGAGATCTCTACTGTACTAGGAAAATTTCGCGGGAATTCAAAAACTTGAGTAATGAAAATCAAAATAAGAATGTATTATTACTTCCACCAGAGGAATAATAATTATATATCACGCAATATATTATTACTTTGTTTAAACTTGGATGTTTTAACTAGAAATTCGTGCAAAAAATGACTTTTTTAAATACTTATTTCTAGATCTGTATTAATTCAAGCTATAGTCTGCTGGAATTGGACCACCTAGACCAGGAAGGAAAGGGACTCCAGTATCGGGCAACCAGCCTGTTCCATCAATGAAATCAACAGTGAATTTATAGGCTTCTGTTTCTCCAATGACATGAAAACCAGGCCATTTAACTCTCCCAAAAGTTCCAGCCCCGGGGCCCGTATTTGCATATTCAGCAAAGTACAGCGTTGAATAAGAAAAAAAGTTGGCCACTGGCCACTCAATCCATCCCTGCGGCGCAATTGCATCACCAATATTTGATTCCATTACAACCGCCCTGGAAAACTGTTTCCAGGGCCTCCCTAAATATGATTTGTAGGAATGCTTAACAGGAGAAAAATCTGAGCTGACAGTAATCTTGCAGTTTTGGATGGAGAATCCTGTGGTTTGCCCTGGATCGGTCCGGCCATTTGCCAGGATCACGTTGTATGCTCCAACAACTGGTTGACGAAGGATCAAATTACTAGATTGGATTACAGCAGCAGCATTCCCAAATATGAAGTCTATGGTACCATATATGTCACACTCGCGGTAAAATTGGCGAAGGGAGACTGCGTATAATGAATCCTGGTAACCAGAAATGCTACATCTATACAGAACGGACAGATCTGACGCTATAGCTAGTGCCACGGCTTGTGCTCCTTGTGGGCCTGCCGTATTCTGAAACCCAATATCTCGTGCTATAAACCCATTTCCTGTAATTTCTGACAAAAATAAAAGAAGACGACAATCAATCTTCCGGTGGCTGGAATCTGTCTTTAGATCTCTTAAATTGAAAGTTGTACAGAAAAGGGCCATTTTCGCATATTAAATAGTTACTAGCTAATAATGTAAATTTGAATGCCATAAAAAAGCTAAAGCATGAAAAAATAGGGATACTTTTTGGAGCCTAAATGGCAGCTAAAGCATTAAACTTATGACTACAAGGATTTAATTTTAAGTAACTAGAGAGTACAGAGAGGACTCACTAAATGTAGCAGAGTCCAGTAGCATTGAACCCCCAGCCACACTACTACTTGCAGTAATGATAGTTGAGTATTTTCCATCACCAATTAGCATAATCCCATATTTGTTGCTGTTAATTTTTTCGTTGTAAATTCCTGATTTTACATAGATTATGAATCGACTCCCAGTCGCAGCCTGGATGGCACCTGAGATTGTTTTGTAGTTCCCTGAGCCATCTTTGGCGACTATAACATTTGCTTTTATTTTTTTACTTTGAAGCAGTTTCCTATCACTCCTGGGTACCCAGCTGGGAAAAAATTCTTCTTCTAAAAGATGCCTGCCTGTGAAAATTTTGTTTTTTGAATTTCCAGGGATTTGGTTCACCAGGGCCAATGGATTACTGGTCAGTTCAGAAAGATAGTCCATTTTCCTGGAAATTTCAGCCAGGAATACATTCGATGGAGCCTGAGCCTCTACTGCATCCTTGCATGTTTGTTGGAATGTTATAGCAGCACTCAGCCATGTTTGGACCTCTTCCTTGCGCTTTCTTGGTGACTCCCTAAGCGCCACCAAAGAACAGTTGAGCCATTTGATAGACATTGTCAAGAGCTCATGACAGTGATCTGCATAATTTCAGGCAGAGAAAAGTCAAATGATCTGAAAATTAAGAACCAGGAAACTGGAATCCATTTCAAATCTGCAGTTGGAATCGAATGTAACTCATTGCCTAGCTGTTAAAAAGAAAAAAAAAAGGGAAGAATGACAAGAATTGTAAATTTGAAAGAATCGACGATATGTACCCATGATTCGAGCAAGTTGGGCATCTTCAGAGACAAAATGGGAGCTGAGTTGCTCAAATTTTGAAATCGGGACATTGATTTCCGATATTGTCTTGTTAACTAGTGCAGACATGAAATCAACATGTTGATTTCCTGATAAGCCTAATCGTGTCAAGGTTTGAACACACAACTTCGGATATCTGGTGAAGGCACATTTAGTTCTTACATCCTCTTCAATAGCTGCCAATGACGCGGTACTGAAACCTGATATTACTATTAGCAAAAGCACAATGCATTTTGGGGCTCCCATTTGATGAATAAATTTTGATGAATGGAGAATTTATGTAGTGTTTGATACGAAGGAAGGTTCTGTTTGCGATTGCTTTTAGAGCTTTAACTTCTAATTATCAAACCACTACAGCTATTTGAGAAGTTTAGTGAACTGTTAGATTTTCAGATATTTCCTTCTGACTTCTCCAATTACCCATCATTTAAAATACCAATTTTAACCTTCATAAAATAATAATCCTTTCATGTCCTATGTCTGTGGACACTAGAGTGAATATTCATCAACATAGCTAAAGTTGGCAATCTAAAAATGTACATCAATACCAAACTTGGCCTAATTAATGACTAGAAAATTTGCATGCTTACATACCTAGAAAGGCGTTTTCACGCGTCCATAGTTGACATGTTCATTATACGTTGAGTCATGTTTAATATTATCAATATGTAATACTCTTTTAAATTCAAATCAAGTCACATCCATTTTATCACCATCATGTCTAGTTGTGAAAAAATAAAGTGACTTGATTGTGAATTATTGCGTTATACATAAGCATATTTGACTTGGTAGCTAATAAATAAATAGAAATATTTTCTTTTTCATGAACTTAATTTTTCCATGAGGTTTGAATTGGGAAATTTAGTTTGAAATTTACATTAAAAAAATTGGTTTAAATGATTGTAATTATATAAATTATTTACTTCAAAATTGTTTTGATTAATATGGAGAATATTCATTCATTATATTAAAATAATCTTTTTGACATAAAAAGTAATCAGTCTAACCAACAATTAAATTGTGAGAAATGCTTTGTTGTACATCTAGTTTGACAGCTCCCTCACATGGGGTGATGCCCGCAATTTAAAAAATCACAGCCCCCACTCCCCATGTAATTTATATCGTTAGTTGTGACAAGGGTATACTGATAATATACAGAAAACATTGGAGAAAAGGACACAAACCATGTATAAATCTTTCGGTTCTTAATTCATTTGTAAGCATTAAGTCCTTATTTGGTTATCATTATTTTCAAAATATATTTTTCTCTTTTAATTTCAACCAGTACTTTACGTTGCCTCGATGTGCGGCGAAAACGCCAAGCCAAGTGGCTTGACATCCTTATTTAGAATTGTTGACCGCTAATGAGTGTCTGGACGCGATTATTAGCTCCTAGGAGTGCATTATTATCTATTTTTTTTTAATTTTTTAAAACTCTTTTAAATTAAAATTTAAAGATTGATTTACACTTGAAACTTATTTTTGTTGTTGGAAACTTTTGAAAAAATATATAAAATTTCTATAAATTTGTTTTAGATGTTTGATATGCATTATTTTTAATTATTAAATAATTTTTTGATTAATTAAAAATTAAAATAAGAAAAACGTCTTTTTACCTTTTTTTTACGCATATCCCTCGTCTAAGCTTGCTAAACCCATGGCTTGGCCTCTACGCATTGCTACATATTACGCCTTTTAGAACACTATTTTCAACCACACATTTTTCAATAAAATAATATTACACGCAAATCCAATTTTTTAAATATTTTTTAACTACATATTTTCCATCAAAATATTATTTTAAAATGCATTTCGATCAAAAAATGGACCTCAAACATCCTCTAAGTTACAAAACAAAAAGTGAATAAATTGGTCTCACTTAAGGCTGTAGTCATTATCAAACCATCTCTTCTAAAATTTTATGAAGAGACCACAAAATTTTATGTCTTTTACTGGAAAAATCTAAATGAAACAATGCGTACATAAAAGACAAAATTAAAATATATAAATTTCTTAATTGTACGAAAATTTAAATCTTAAAATAAGTTTATTGAACAATCACATCAACAAATAAATTCATAAACATAAATAGATTAGGGCGGTTTCAACATTTGAATTAAGTTTAAGCCCCAGTTTGAGCCTTCATTTTTGGGTCTAAATGCATATTGAAATAGTATTTTGTGGAAAGATGTGTGATTAAAAATTAAGAAAAAATTTTAAGTTCGGTTTAAAATTATTTTATGGAAGAATGTGTTATTGAAAATAAGCTTTTGAAAAAATGGGAGCCAAACATAGGCTAAAATTTATCAATGAATTTATATGATACGTGGGCTTTTCGTATGATTTTTTTATTTGTGACAAGTGTAATTTTTTATAGAGGAAATTACACTCAACCTTACTTTTAAATTACCATTTTCATAAATCCTGATTCAAGTTTCATATTTCAAAAATTAGGTTTTAATTCATAATTTAAAAATATTTTTTATTTTTATTTTTATATCTATTTACAATAAATTCATTTATATAACTCCCCCAACCCTATCTACCCCAAACCCTAAATCAATTCCCTCAACCTCTCCTCTCAATTCCGTCGGCCGTCTCTCTGCACTACGCCTACACCGCCACCGCCACCGCCGTTGGATCTTCTTCCTCTCCTCTCCCTCTCTTGTATTCACTATTTTCCCGTCTCTTTCCCTAGATTTTCACAGATCCAACCGTTTCTTCGCTCTACTTCACCGTTCTTCTCTCGCAGATCCAACATTTTTTTAAACCGCCGCCACGATGTCGAATCGTCTTCCCCTCATCTTGCTCTCATCTTTCTTCTCCCATCTCTTCAAGTCCTCACATTGTCACAAAAGAGGCTAACAGACAGAATCCCAGTTGATATTTTCAGCTTGAGTTTTCTTTTACACCTTGATTTGAGTTATAACACGCTGACAGGCGTTTCGGGTGTGGATGTGTAGGCGACGTTAGTGGCTGTGGATCTTTTTTTTATCTTTTTAATTTTTTTAGTTTCGAGTTTAAGGCGTTTCGGGTGTAGAGGTGAAGGCGATGTTCGTGGCTATGGATCTGTTTTTATTTTTATTTTTTTAGTTTCGAGTTTGATTTATTGGATGGGTATGGTGGTTGTATGGTTGATGTTTGTCGGTGTTTGCTTGGTGGTTTTTCAGTCGAAGGGTGGTGTTGGTGGTGGATTGGGTACTGCGAAGTGTGGATTTGAAGTTGGTGGCGGCGGTGGTTGTGTGTTATGTGTGTGTTTGTTTTGGTTGTGCGTGTGGCGATGGGGGTCTAGGGTGGTGATAGTGGTGTTGGGGAGGGTGTGGTGTTGGTTTTTGAGATGTTGATGGTGACACCGGTGGAGGCGGTGGCGAAGTGGTGGGCACAAATGATTTTGGTGGTGGTCATGGTTGGTTGGTTGTTTGTGACCACTAATTTGGTCGGTCGGCGATCAATAAACGATATGTGACCAATGAATTAGATAAAATGTGACCATTACGTGATATGTGACCTAAAAATTATTAATTGTGACCAATAATTTGATAAATTGTGACCTAAATATAATTTATATTCAATTAAAGTGATGTTTGTGACCATAAATAAGTATTGTGACTTATAAATTTTGTGAACTGTGACCGATGAA